AAACATTACTTCAATATTTATTAAGAAATGAAACAGAATCCTTATTTAAAGCTTTATGTAAATGAGTCTTCACTAGAGTTAAGAAACTTATAGGTGAACATGTAGGAAAATGATGTTTCTATTCACTTTTTGAAAATTATTGTATATGTAGTTAATTAGGAACCCTTAGATACATTTATAAGAGAATTTAGCATTTATTTTTTTTTCAATTAATACTTCAATTTTTTTTGAAAAATTGTTAATTGAAGGAATTTGATGAGTTGTACTTTGAGGAGATAATAGTGAAATTCAAAACCCTTAAGGACCTATCCAAATATAGTAATCCTCATATAGATATATTAAGGATTGAAAAATATCCTAAAGTAAAAAATATATGAAAAGAAAAAATTTAATAAGTGAGGAAAAGCTTGAGGAGAAGCTAACTAAAAGTTGGTTTCACTAATGTTTATTCAAATGTTTAACTTCATCATGATCCTAAACTTGATGATCTTTAAAAAGTATTAGTCAAACATTTTTTAATGAAGTGTTAACTTTACTTTTCATTCTCTAAAATACCTAGATTTAAAATGTGAATGATTTTCGGAATTAGATAGAAACTTAAAATTTATAAAGTCAACTACAAGGATTACTTATTACCTTAGAGCTAAGTTTATTTACTAGAGTTGATCCTATTGAACTATGAATTTCTTAAGGAAACATTGAAGGTTCAAGTGATGATCAGCATGTTGTCTGCCAAAAACACCAATGAAGTTAAAAAAAAAATGATAGGTTGAATGGGTGTTCATAGCCAGTTCATCTCAAATTCAAGAGAAAATTACTCTATATTTTTCAAAACTTTATGGAAAGTGAAGAACTTTGTCTGGTTAGATAAATGTGGAATAAATTTTAGGAAATTGAAAGATTCTTTTGCGTCACCGCCGCTCCTTCAAAGCCCACAGCTGAATGAAGAACTCTCTCTGTACTTGGGAGTTGGACTTGAAGCCATTAGCTTAGTTTTACTTTTAAAGGAGCAAAAAATTGAGTTCCTAGTTTACTTTATCAGTTAGTACTCCAAGGAGTCGAGCTTGAGTATCTGATATTGAAATAATTGATGTTCTCTCGTTATTTCTACCTACAGGATTTGTTCATATTTCAAAGTCATCTGTTCAATATCATCATCAACCAATCACTCAAATTTGTCCTCACTAGGCTAGAATATTTTGTCCGGCTTCTCAGATTGGAACTTGAACTCAACAAAATGGACCTCTCCTACGTGCTTAAATTGCCATCAAGGCTCCAGACATAGCCAACTTATTGGACAAATTTCTTAAGCCAAGCAAGCCCAAAAAAGAAGCAGTGATTGATAGCCAAGTCTAGGTAGTCAAACTGAGGTGGAGCTTAGTCTTTCTCTGACAAATCCTTTTGTAGATTATTTATTTCACTTGACAGAAGTAGGATTTGAAGTCACCAACAAGCAAGTCAAGTGAAGCATTGATTATCGGGCTATGATTCGCTTACGAAATGAGTGTGTGACACCTCTTGATAAAATTCAACTTGCAGTTCTTAGTTAAATAAGTGAATGAGAAATTCGACGTTAGAGATAAGATAATGATCAAGTGCCTAGGAAAAGCAATTACTGAGATATGAGAGTTCATTGGTTTCATTATTGAACATATCTCCAGAGCAAACAACCAAGTAGTGAACTTCCAACCATGTTTATAACTGGAGGCTCTTCCAACTAACCATAGTGGAAGTGGAAGTGATGGAACTGAGAGCCAAAGGATTGAAAAGCTAGATCAATTCATGCACCATATTCCTCGAGATTTGGAAGGTCTCGAATGAAGTAATAGACCCGAAGTATTTATGATTAAGGTAGTCCAATAAGTTGTGATCAATGGGAAACTTTTTTGAAGGTTATTTATCTCGTTATATCTGAAGTGCATCAATGAAGATGAGGCAGAGGATATCATCCATGAATTACATTCAGAAGAATGCAAAAGCCACTCTAGATGAAAGAATTTGGCACACCAATTACAATGACAAGAATATTTCTATTTGAAACTTCAAAAGGAGCTAAGGGATTCTTAAGAAGGTGGGAGTAGTGTCAGGAGTATGCATCGTTGAACATCAACCAAAACACAAATTTTAGCCTATTGTCAGCCCATGACCTTTTTTCATTTAAGAAATTGATATTCTTGAGTCTCCAATCATGTGGCTAGCAAAATTTCCTGCTCATTATTGTAGAATACTTATTCAAGTGGATTGAGACAGGGATGCTCATTTGGATAACCACAGAGTTTGTATGGAACCTAATCTAGAATTATTTAATATGTCATTATGGGTACCCCCTTGGAATAATCATAGATAATGGAACACAACTTGTCGACCAAGTGGTAAGGGATTTTGCCAATGCAGAAGGATTAGCTTGAAGGTTGCACATGTTAGTCAGCATTGAATAAAATCCAACTGATACTAGGGGAACTCAAACTAGTCTTTTAGCGGTGGTTCTACTCAAGAGACAAAAATTATAACGATGTGTAACAACCAATCAGTAAAATTTCTTAAGAAACCAACAAGAGGCTTCACATCCAATATGAAGGATTTACAAGATCTGACTACAATGTTTATGCATCATTAGAACTTATATATCATAGGTCAAATCTGTTCAAGCTCTTCAAGCAAGATTTCCAACTCATCAGCGACAGGATTCGTAGTAAGAGCCAAGATTTCCTACTCATTTCCAACTCCAATTATCTGAGCACCTTTGCCTCGTCTCCTTCCTCCATCTCTTCAACCCTCGCCAACTTTTGCTCAGATTCTAGCCATTCCTGTAGTTCTTGATAAGGATGGTCGACTAAAGATGAGAAGCTTTCCACAACATATAAATAACCTTACCCATACTGATTAAAACACAACCAATTAAGTTGATCCTGTGGACACAAAACCAATTAAGCTTAGTCGATCACTCCAGAAGGATTCAACATCCTAAAAGGGCAACCGCTTCACCAAGTCCTTCAAGGAGGATTTTAGGACGATCAACTCCGCTATCATTGTTCGAGCTTTGGTCGCCTTTGCATGACACTTGGTCTATTTTTATTGGCACCCCAGTCGGTTTCTCACCTGACCCAAGCAGAGCCAAATCACCATCTAGGATTACCGAAGTCGGATCATCTGCACCAGGAAACACCATAAATTAAAAGAGGGTTGCAAAAAAAGATCAAATCCCACAGGCAAGATCGAAGCCCACTCATACCCCTGATCTGATTCAATTTTACGACAATAAATGGCATGGCAGCCTCAGCGGGGAGCACTGATTATAGTGATTGAAGAATGCAAGAAGCCATTTGAGTGACAAGATGAACCAGAGGTGCATTGCAACAAAAGGTTAGACAATTGGATCAATAATCAGACCAATGGCTAAACATATCTTGACTTATTATCGAGGAACGAATCTTGCTATCACACTTGATCTGACAGTAGGAGTGCAACCATTTTCCTTTTCTTAATGACTATTTTCTTTTTCCTTACACTTCCTTGGCGATCTTATCCTTTCATTTTCACTAAGGCAAAACAGGCAAATCTTTATTTGGGATATCACCCAAGCGTTTTGATACATTCTTCATCACAACACGCGAAAGTTGTCCAACTCAAAAATTGAAAGATGTGGAGTAGACTAGGCAAGGGAAGGATACCATGTTATATTTACAAGAATCAAAGACGTGAAAATCAAAGGAATTGATTATTGAATCATTGATTAATAACACATGTGGTCAACCGTTGTAATAAATTATTTTATTCTTATCGTAACATCACTCTTAAGAAGAAAGAGAAATAGAAAACTAAAATATGTATATTAGGAATGTGTTAGCGCTGATCTTAGAGAGATCTAAAGGTCTAGAAGAAAAGAGCACGGTGAAGACTAGCCCACGGCCAAAAGATTATGAGACCCACTTATTGGACTGAGTGAAACTATATCAGCCAAACCAGTAAAGCCAAAACCAACAAAGCAACAAGGAGGACAGCAAGATGACAAAATGAACAAAGCCCGAGCCATTCGGCCAGATGCGATATGAAAGAACATCTGAACTAACCATTAAAGAAAAATCTATTGGATTAAAAAAGTCTACCTTATATTACAGCTAATCCAAGGGAAGTTACAGTTCCACAGTATGTTTAGCCATCCTATGAATGCCCAGGAGATCCTCATTAAGAATGAAAGATCGACAACCAGACCATATGAATAAACTGATCCATATCGACTAAATCTACAAAAAAACAGAGCTGATCTCATAGGCCTGAAGCCGACTAAACTTAGGAGGTCGAGCCAGAAGATAACCAAACGACACACTCATATATTCAAAATATCATAAATACTCTAGTACGGATCCTTTCAAAACATAGACAATAATGTAATATTATTATTGTACTATCTTTTCTAAAAATAGAAGAAAATTTTAATGAATAAGACATGACACATTAATATTCTCTCTCTCTCTCTCTCTCTCTCCAAACAGTCCAAAAAAGTGAATACGAAATTGGCTGAGATCATCAATTCAAACACGAACACAAAAACCTTTAAGTATTATCAATTTGGTTTAAGAGGAAGTACTTCGGATTTTACCTAATTTAAGAAAGAACAACTAGGTATAACTGTGTTCTAATCAAAATTTAAGTAGAATATCTCAAAACTGTTAAATTAATTTTTAAATAAAAAAACACAAATTTTGATTGGATGTATATATCATAGAATTTAAAAAATTATAAATAATATGATTATTTAATTTTTAAGGTCATCGAAACCAACGCTGAACCGAGGATATTATAAACCAGTTTTTTTTTTTTTTAATATAGAAACTAACAAAATCTACGATTTGCAGATCTGGAGCAAAAATGTCGACAAAGAGAAATGAAAGCAAACATTAAAAAAATAATCAACTGAAACTTAAAAATTATGGCAGAACATCATACAACTTTTATTTGGATGAATTTAAATTTTTTTGAATTCAATATTAATTCCGTGAAATACAAATTATTTATATGCAATTGTAATGTCGAAATAAACTCAAATGTTCCTAAATCTAATCCAAAAATTTATAAATCCATCCGACGCAAACCATTAGAGAACACGTGCCACTAGAACGAACAACTTTCTTGGGAAAGCCGATACCCAAGATTAAAAAAAATGGAAAAAAAGAACAGCAATTGCATTTAACGGTCTAGAAACAAGATCTTAAAAAGAGTGGAAGAGAAGAACCCTAGAACGGTGCGGGTGCGTAATAGAAGGGCCTTCCTGCGAAAACCCCATCTCGGGGTACATCGTAGTGCAAACTATGCTTTATTTTCTCAAATCCATTGGCGAAAACACCAAAACCGAAGATGAATCCAATGGCGATGATCAAAAGAATCAGCAGCAAGCAGCAGCAGCAAGCTTTCCCTGGGCAACACATCTTTCCGTTTTCCTCTCCAGGAAGTGAGAAAATAGGGGGTGAAGGAGAACAGGAAAGACAGAGAGATAAGAGGGAAGATGTCCAGAGCGCCGGAGTTAGCGAGTGATTTCCGTTGGTGTGGGTGAGGCATATAGAGAGAGGGGATAGAATGAGATTGAAATGAATTTGTACCGCTCTTATTGTTAAATTTGTGTGTCGTGTTCGATTTTAATTACTGAAACTATTTTTTTATTAGTGAGATAGCAATTGGTGCAGGACCCGATTCTGTGATTGGTGGATTTGGTAACGGCGACAAGGGTTTTGACTCTTTCTGCGGATGTTTTTTTGTACTCATTGTCACGCTAAGAACGGTTTGTTTTTTATTATGAATAAGAGGCAATGATAATTCTGAACGGGGAAAGTATCGTAACTCGTAAGGGTGTAACGGCCAAGTTTATCGGTTAGTTCGTTCAAATTTGTTTTTGTAGACTAATCTATATTATTATGCGATCTCTCATGATATAAACTATATAATATATATATATATATAATATTATTATTATTAAAGTTGTTTAAACACTATATTTAACTTTCTCATTTCAATTAAATTTTATTACTTAATTCAAACGAGTCAAGCTTGGCTCGTGTTCGGCTCGCTCGAAATAGTTCGTGTTCGAAATCGACTCGTGTTCGAAATCAGCCCGTGAACAGTGTAATCATGTTCGGCTCGATTTAATTATTCGTGTTCGTGTTCGGCTCGAAATTGGCTCGTTAAACTAAAATTGAGAAAAATTGATGTAAAGTGTGGGATTCGAACCTGTATTAAATTTATACAAAAGAATACACTAACAACATTGCCAAATGTTCGACTCGTTAGGCTTAACGAAAGAGCGGAACACGAGCTGCTTAACGAGCCGAACACGAGCTGTTCACGTGCAACGAGTCCAATTGAGAGCCCTAGGTTTGATTGACAAAATGTTGATATACATCTGTTTCAATTTATTAAATTATATATATATATATTAAAGTTGTTTAAACACTATATTTAACTTTCTCACTTCAATTAAATTTTATTACTTAATCCATAATTAGTTTTTTTTTTTAGTTTTTTACAATAGTTTTTTGAATCAAAATTATTTTATTTCCTTAATAATAAATGATCCAATTCATGGGTTGGCTTTAACTAATAGAATTAAGCATGGACTCTGCCAAAATTTAAGTAATTAATCAAGTTCAAGGTGAAGTAGTGGGTGACTCGAGCGAAATTTATTTACACCTCTTATTAGTATCAAATGAATATCTCGATTTCTTATTTATTTTTATTTTTCAAATAAATTTAACTAAAAATTCACAGGCATCACATATATTCTAAGTCTCAAACATATGACATCTTATCTAAAAATCAAAAAATTGGATTCAACGACGCAGGCTTCATGTATTCTTAATTGAAAACTTAATAGAGAAATGTGTTAAAATGTGCTATTTCTAAATAAATCTAGACCAAACATGTAGGACATTGATTTTTTTTTTTTTTACATAGAGTATTACTTTTAATTTTTTTTTTTTTGCATGCTAATGTTTCCATAAACAAATTAGGTTAATCGCAAGAAGTTTCACTAAAGATTTGCTTAAAATTAATTGACACGATCTCCAACAATATCAAACCTATTTAACGAGGGTTCTAATCAATCTGGATTCAAGTCAAACATTGTTAGCTTACCTTATTCAGTGCAAAAAACTAACATGATTTCAATCAATTTTTAACCTTATAAAATAAATTCTTAGTCAAATATACAAGCTCCGGAATTTATGAATTCATATATAGTTTTAAAGATACATTAATTTAAATTAATACTTGAAAATTTCATTTGTATAATTGTTCAAAATATCCTCATGCTTTCAATATAGCCTAGGCCAAATTAGAGCCATCTCATTAATTATAATGAATAAAGTTTAATGGCAGATTAATGATTATAAAATCACCAAGAAGAAATCAACCAAGCATGTGAATTTGCCACCAAATTCATGTTTCCCAAGCAAATTAGCAGATTCTCTTTATAGGCATTGAGAATTGCTTGTGTCTAAACCCAAATCTATAAACAAAAAGGTTAGAAGGGGAACACATTCAATCAATTACATAGATACCGTAATTTTTTTGGCAATCACCTAAAATCCCAAAGTAACTCTCCATAAGCTCTCTTGTTCTCACACCTCTTATACTTTTAATTTGATAAATCTTAGTTGTAAAATTTCGTATCACCCGCTGACAAATTTGGAATCAACTTCCTCAGCATTGCAGTGAGTATAGATAATATCTATGTCAAGAAATTAAGCAATGGATCACTTGAATGAAAGAGAGAAATGAGTGCTAATAGAATAAAAAAGTCTTGTCACTTCCTAGCAATCGAATCAAATGAAATGTAACTTGAGAACAATGTTTCAAAAAATCTTGAATGATTTCAAAAAAATATTTCTCAAATTCATCTTTGTTAAGAATAGTAAAATGATTGAAATGTTTCGGCATGTATAACTTGGATTTGGAAATAAAAGTATTTTAGTTTTCTTCTTTCATTAATAGATTTCTTCAAAATGGACTTCTTCACTTAATCTAATTTTTTGTATAGTCATATTTAGATTGAACTCATAACTTGTTGAATTTTATAATAGTAAAATCTTTTGTTACCTATATAACTAGACATCCTTCATATAGTTCATCAACACAACTCATTTGCGGTGGTGTTTATGATTTGGGTATATAGCTTCCTTTGTGGCTTGTGTTACTTACAATGAGAGCTCTTGTATTTTTATAGCTTCTTGAAAATCTTTGAAAATATGTTAAACTATTTTCGACAGCTAGACGGAAAAAATAAAAAAAACAGCATATTAATTAAAAACAAAAGTTTTTTTTTATATATATAGTAAAGAGACTGTTGCTTTTTTACTTGTCCGAAATCCCTCACTCGACGAAATTTGTTAGGGTTGTTCTGATATGACGTCTTACCGGTAGATTATAATCATAAGTTTATGCCAAAAGAATAACCGTCATTTAGTCGTCAGTTCTTCAACTGATAGTTTTTTTTAATCGGTTTTAGGTTGATGTATAGCCAATCATTGGATAGCTGGAAGGCCATCACAAAGATGTATATTAAATAAAAATAAATAATATTCTTTCTTTCTTCACAATTTACACACCTGATATCACAACATCAAATTTACCAATCTAAATATGCATTAAACAAAAACCACATGAATGGGCTCACAAATTAAAATAGAAATAATCACAATGCAATGAAACAGTGAATGAAATAATATGTCCATACATAATAAAACATTGTAAATATGTCTCATAAAATAAATTAATAAGAAAAATCCTAATCATCATTCATCTCCTCTTCATTCTATTTCTCAATCCCCTTCTCTATCAGCAATTTTCCATTCTTGCGTGCTTGACATTGTAATGCATCTAGTTTGTTTTCATTTTGGCCTCCATATTGGACTTTATCTCAACGAGCTTAGCAATAAATTGGGTCTCTATATTAGCACTGAATGTGTGGACCAACTTATAAATCTTATCCTCCAGGATGCAATGAATAAGGTAAAGGTACGATGTGTGTCATATGCTTGTGCTTGTGAACCCAATCTATAATTGTTTCTTTCTTCTTTCCCCCAACAACCTCTCTCCAAATCTCATAATCAAACTAATGATGCCCGAGATCATAAGTCCTTCAGTGCACTAAGTTTGTGTCTTCTTTAGCTACTCAAAGGTTTCCTTCAAAAAATATACTCTATGATTAGAGGAAAAATTAAATTCAAAATTATTTAAATTATGTAATAATTAATTATCGCTTAGGTGGGGGTCATCTAAGATTTATTATCAACCTAGATATGGTTTGACTACCATTTATAGGTGCGCACATGTACCCCCACAATAGTGGGCTCTCGTCCATACTTCAGAATTTATTAAGATGACTAATTACTAAATAATTATTTTACCCTAAAATTTAGTATACAACTTAACTTTTATCATCCTCCTCTAGTACTAAGTATGTGGGAGCATCCTAACAGTATGCTTGTAGGCCTTCAAGACACTGCAACGAGAATGCTAATTTTCTATTGCCTGCTGACCTTTCTTTTGGTAGTCCAAAGTACATAGGCTCTATGCCAAGAATTGTACACCTCCTTCCTGAGCCACAAAAAGTGTTTGTTTCTTCGGTATCTCACCTGACATGTAATAAAAATAGTCCCCCTTTAGATTAATAGCTCCTAATGTGTGCATTGTGCTCGAGGTGTCAGGAGAATTGCCTCTACAAAATAAAAATGAATATTTTAAATGAGTAAAATTATGTATATATATATAAATATATATATATATATATATATATATATATATATATATATATATATATATATATATATCATGAATGTGTTCAATAGAATGACATTTTGCGTGAATCATTTTATAAATTATAGAATGTTGAATATGAATTTGCTTTCAATGATTGCATTTATATGTTTATGCGATGCTTTTGTAATTGGATCTTTGTGTAAGATCTTCCTTGATTCACTCCAAGTATTGACATAAATATTTATGAATGTGTAATTCTATTTACACGTTTAAGTCTCGTGTGTTCAACTTGAACATGTTAAAAGACTTTATGAGAGAGTCTTAGTCAACAATCGACATGTTATTAATTTATTTTAAGTTGAAGCAATACACTTTAAAATTTGCATTGAAGCTTCTTTCGCTTTTAGGATTTATGCATGTTATATATATATATATATATACCCAAAACTTTTTAAGCCATATATCACAAATTTCTATCACGATCTCTTTTCATGTGTGGTACGAAGCATCATACTTGCTTCGTAAGATATATTTTGCAACATGGAGAGCCTGTATAAAGAGATAACATTTAAAAAGAGAATATAAATTATTTAATAAGCACAATTTTATTATTTCTTAGAATTGTTTTTTTCCATTTTTAATTTAAAAAACTTATGTATGACCATATGATCTAGCACTAACATGAGGCTTGTGCTAGCCGATGCATCTCAATGAATAGTGGTAAAGGTCTATACTAGGAGTAGAAGGTCCTATCACAGTATTTGGCAGTGGTGATGGTATGGTGGGAGGAGTGGGATGTAAGAGCATCAGGGTGAAGGCTTGTGGAGAGAGAGCAAATAAAATGGTCAATATGGTACTGACCAACA